GTAGAGTCCTAATCATCTCTTAAAGGTCCTACCTGTTCCCACCTCTTAACATATCATAATGGGGATTAAATTTCATTAAGAGTTTTGGAGGGGAAAAACCATATTCAAACCATAGCATCATCTATTACTAAAAATGGCAGGAAATGCTAAATTTCTTCCCATCCTGCCTGGTTCACAGAACCATTTCCTGAATCCCATTGATACAGCTCTTGGTACATGAACTGCAGAATAAGAAGGCCTACCATAGGACTATAAGTTGGAAGGGACCTAGGTTCCTGAATCACTATAATAAGGAAAATTACCTGGTGACTTCAATGGAGTGTTATCAAGAATAAATCATCAGTGTTTTAAGCCACAGAATTTTCAGAGGCACTGTTCTGATATCTCATTTAATCTTCAGATGACCCTGTAAGTATCATGACCTCCAGTTTACAAATGAGGAAACCAAGGCACCATGAAGTTCAGCAACTTGAAGGGATGCAGATGATGGGAGTGGAACCAGGATCTGAATCTGTTTACTTCATCTGTTCATTGGAGTGCCTAGCTTTACATTGAGCTAATGAATTCCCAATTCCTGCTTAAATTACTTGCAATTAGGTTTCTATTCTAGAAACTGAATGAGTTCTAATAAAATTCAGACTGTGGCCCATCAATAAGGTTATGCATGAGGAAACCTGAATGTCTGTCACCTGGTCCCCTGGATAGATGAAGTCCCTATGTCCCCTACCAAATTCTCTGTATTTCTTCAGATTTTTGCTTTTAGCTCCTCTTAGGTCCCCCGTAGAGACCCCTCAGAGATTCTGGACCAATCCACTGCCCAAGGAGGCAGAGGGGTAGCCCATAGGGCCATCAGTTTACTGTAGAGGAATATTGTGAGTGTCTTCAAAGTGAACATCATTCCTTAGCTGGCTTACTATGGCTTCCCAGAGGGCCTGGAAAATTAGGCTGACAAGGTCAGTTTTTAGAGAAACTTAACAGGCCTCATGTTAAATTCACCTGCCATGAACATAATCACCTTTTGCTAAACTCTTTTAGGCCAGTATCTATAACAAACATCTTTCAAAATCCCTTCCTAGTTTAGCCTCCAACACCTCAACATTCCATAATAAGTAATAATAATAAGTAAGGTAGCTCAAAATGTTTTTCACCCAAGGGAGTATCAGTGATTAATCTGCTTGTAGGCACTGGCATCTTGCAATATCTGAGTGGGAGGAACTGCGAGGCTTTCATTGGAACTCACAATGCCAAAACAGAGTTCCACCCATTGCCTTGAACGTCAGAGCTGACGCCAGCTGCTTAGACCAAATGCCTGAGGACATCCTTTACACTCCGTCTCTCACTCCACACATCCAAACCATCAGAAAACCATGGAAGGGTACAATAAATATAAAGCAGTGTCCAAAACTGTATGGAGTTTTGTTTGGTTCTTTTATGTTTTTTCTCCAGATTGGACAATTAGACCCATTTGTTTAAATTTAGAGCTTCTGAAACGGTGTCTGTTGGTTAAAGAAAAACACTTGGGCATATTATTTGAAATATTACTAACATACTGTTTAAAAACAAAGTTGTTCTGTTTCTAGATGTTTCGGGCATACTTATTAAGCCTTAAGTCAAACAACATGTTTTGGCCATGCCTAATTGGACTTCTAGTCCTGAGAGTAAGTATACTTACCTAGTATGGGTGATTGAGCCTCAGATGTTTTGTTTTGTTATTTGAGGCCAAAGCATTGTGATCAATTCAAATGGGGAGTGTGGTTGGGTGGGGATAGGAATAAATGCTTTCTTCGAGCCTTTTGCTTTTTTTTTTTTATTTTTTAAAACCATGGCTACAATTGTTGTTTTTTTAAACAATGGAAAAGGAATGTTAATCTTTTAAAAAGTGTCATATACTTAGAAACAGACTTGCTGCCTTTTCCCCTTTTCATCAATTCTCTAAGGTGAATCTTCAGGGAGCGTATCTGAGCTCTGAATGTAAGCCCTCTCTCTCCCACATACTAGGGAATTGAGGTGACTTCTCCTAACTTCACATAATGGCAGTGAAACCAGTACAAGACAGTTACCTGGAAAAGCAGCTGGCAGGAAGCCTGTTCATGTGCAGGTGGAGTCTTGATAGAATGGACCTCAGGCCTGTGCCTCTTCCAGCCTTTCTGCTTCTGTTCTGCTTTCTTACAAAAACATCTCCAATTTTTCTCTGCTTCTCCCTAACCCTTTGCATATATGCTTTGGGTGAAGTTGAAGACTATTGAACTCCAGGAGGGGGCATTCAACTTCTTCCTGGCCACGGTATGACAGTCTTCTGAATGTGTCCGGTTCAGCGTTGAAAATGAAAGTCAAGCCCAGGATGTTTGTTCAGCTGTCTAGGGGGAGCTCTGGGCTTTAACCTAATAGGAGCAGGCATCCATTTTGATTCAATATGGCACCTGATGTTAAAGTCACTATGGAAGTAGGAAGATCTGAGTGGCTTTAGCCCCTAGATTAAGCTACACCTAAATCTGGTAGTATGCTTTTTCTGATCTTTCAAAGCTATTTGAGCCAACTAATTCCTTTTCTTTTTTCTTAAGAAAAAAGAAAAGGAATTAGATGATTGGATTTCCAATCATCTTAAGACTAATATAGTAGACCCAGAGACAAAGAGTAATATGAGAAAGATAAGATTAGGACCTGAAAATTTGTCAATTATACTAGGCCCCATCTAAGGAAAACTGCAGCTTGGAGGCCTTGAGTCCCCAAAAGGAAAAGAAGATAGCTAGAATGTGTCATGTCCTTGGCACTGCACAGGGGTGAAGAGTTTTGATTATCAGTCTTGTCCCTGGGCACCAATCTTTTAGTTCTAAAGAGGTGTCAGATTATTAAAACTAAATAGTGTGTATATTTGAGGTTCATCAGGAAATCTCTATTTTAGCTTGGCCTTCTTCGTGCTCTTCTACTGGAAAAAGATTCATGGATCTTTGACCACAAGCATTCTGGTCTCATAGCAGTTCAGTTGTCATGCAAATCAACCTGGGACCTGCTACATTTGGCAGTCTCTTGTGAATTTTCATTGTTATAGTCAATCTGTTTAACAACGCCTGTTTCAGGGAACCCTGGCATTTTGTGGAGGTAGTCTACTTATGTGGCTTCAAATAACTCCATCATTCCATGTATGTACATGCAGCTCCTCCCTGGCTTATATCCTCTCTTCTTGAATTTAGATTAGACTTGTGATTGTTTTCACGGGCAGAATACAGGGGAAGTGACATTCTTCAGAAGGCCTGGCAACTTCTACTTCCTTACTCTTGGAACCCTGGGTTGCCATGTGAAAAAGGACAGCCAGAAAAGTGAGAGAATGAGGTACTACACAGAGATGCCTGGTTGGGGAACACTGAGGTGCCAGACATTCAACATTGAGCCCCTCTGAGGCACAGGCATGAGAAAGTACAAGTGAGACCAATATAACTGTCCAGCTGAGCACGTGAATCATGAGATATAATCAAATTGTTGCTTTATGCTGCCAAGATTTTGTTATGCAACTAGACTTCCCCTCCTCCATACACACTGTGCCAATCACAAAAAAAAGCAACTCCTTCTGGACACATGAATTACAAAAAGGCCCCTCTTTCTCTACACTGGAGCACAGGTTGCCAGGGCACAGGAGGAGAACCAGCTGGATATCTGTTCCACTGGCCCCTCAGGCTGGTACTTTATGTATAGCTACACAACTCCAGTAGTCTGGGGGTTAGAGGTTGTGTAGAAGGATGTCTAAGTAATTAGTTAGCCTGCACTTGTTCCCATTAATCCCATACCTGTGCTTAACTTTTGCATTGCTTTGCCCTTGACCTGTGTCTTGTGGAACTTGTAGAGGCTTAGGCTGTCATTGCCGTCATGGCAAATAGAAGGCAATGATCAGCTCAAGCCAATGCTGAGGAGAAGCAAGTACAGAACTCTTGTTCTGAATAGATCATTTGGATCTTTGAATAGTTTTTGTCTCTCAATGCTTTTCTCATCCTGCCAACTCTTCTCTGTCCCAGGCAACAGTTATCCATTTTGCACATTCTTAAGCAATTCTTTGTGAGGGCCAAATGATATTGGTTGCTATCATTCGTTCCTGCAACCTATTTCACTCTCATTTCTTCAGGGTTGATGTTTCAGGAAGGAGCAAGTAGTCCATGTTAGATTGCCATGCAGGTGCGTGGTCAGTTATATTCTTCAACATAGTCTCTAGTGCAATTTAACAGCCTGCTGGGTGTTACTCTTCCCTAGACTTACTCAGAACAGGGTGGGGTCTGATTCATCTCTGTGCCCAGACTATCAGTCGACTATTGCTTACTGATGCAAGCATCGCGAATCAGATTACTCCTTCTCTACTCACCTTCAATCACTACAGTTTGTCCTGAACAGAACAGCCTGATCTTTGAACACAGCTGTGGTCAATAACTCAACCGAGGGCCGCAAAACTGTCCATTAATTTATCAGACTGAACTACCATTAGTGGACCGAAATGGGCCATTAATTTGTTTTCTGCAAAACTGAAACAGGAAGAATTATTCGACTTGTTAAAGACTGAGTATTTGGTCTAAAGATTAAGACACTGGCTGAGGTTAAAAGTCTGCAAGCTGATCTGTGTTCCCAAGCGATTGACAGGCTGAGAAGAAATCGCGAGAAGCAAAATAAAAGAAAAAAGTGAAGAGATAAAAGTGAACCACCAGAGACAACAAAGGAGATGAAACAAGGGAGGATCCTTAGGAAGAAAAGAAAAATAGAAGCAACGGTGCAGGAAAGGAGTGAGAGCGGGAACAGGGGTTGGAGGGCGGTCCCCGCAGCGCGCCGGGCCGGCTCAGTGCTCCTCAGAACAGGGAAGAGGGGGCGGGGCTTCGGGCGTTTGAAGAGCGACCCCCCCTAACCGGACGCAGGATGGTTGCATCTGGACGCAGCGACCAATGGGCGGCCGGGATGTTGGAGCGGTGGCGGCGGTCGGGGCGCTAGCTGGCTGGGGGACGGCGGCCGCCGCCATGATGCTTGTTTGCTTTCAATGAAAAAGAGGGGGGCGCGAAGGAGGAGGCGTCGGCGTCGGTGGCGGCGGCGTCGGCGGCGCGGAGGAGAAGGCGGCGGTGGGCGCAGAGACGAGGGCGAGCCAGGGGGCCGAGAGGGCGGGAGGGCGTAGTGGTGGCCCATCGGGGCGGCTGAGGCGGGCAGCTGAAGCGGTAGCTCTCGGAGTGGAAACAAAGACCGGCGGCTGAGGCGGCAGAGGAGCGGCGGTGGCGGCGCTGCAGCAGCTGGCGGGACTGGTATGGTGGTTCCACAGGTCAGACCCCGCTGCACTCAAAGGGAGGAGGCGGTGGCAGCGGCGGAGGAAGGCGGCGCACCTCGAGAGGTGAGCGAGACGGGCCCGAGGCCCGACCCGGGCTGCTCCCCGACTGGCCGTGCATGGACCTTCAGGTCGGTCGTGCCGCTTGTAGCCGGAGCACGCCGGGATAGGTTGCGGGCAACTTTAGTTTTATGAGTGGCAGTCACACTGCTCTGCCAAGCTGGCGGCTGTTGGGGGCGCCCTCTCGACGCGACCGCCTTTCCGGGGCCGCGCCCCCGTGCCGAGTCTGGAGGACGTTGACTGACTGCGGTGGAGGCGGAGCGCAAGGGGCGGGGGTGGGCGCCCTAGCTCTGGGACCCAGGCTCCGGTCACCCTCAGCAGCCGGTATCCCTGTTTCGTGTCCTGGACGGGTGGCAACTTTGGAAGTGACTCTGGGAGTGCGCGCTGTGGAGTGTGGAACTTCGCACTCCATAGCCGCAGTTACCGCCAAGCGGGAAACCAACCGCTCCCCCCTCCCCCCGAATTTTTTAAATTCAGTTTAACTCAGATATTTTTTGGGGAAGCAGTGAATTACATGCTTAAAAAAGCACTTAGCACCAGATAAAAAGAGATTTATAGTATGGTTTTGTTGAGGTCACGGAGATAGTACTAATTACTTAAGCAGTTTTCTCCAGTAACGCAGATTAAATCTTGGCTTTTCATTTTTCAGCACCAGTCATTTACTGTGGGAACCTTTTTTTCCCTTTGACTCTTAACACCGCTCGTTCCCTGAGAGAGCTTGCTAATAGACACCTGTAACCTTTTTTCTTTAACTGTTAACCAAACGACAACATTGTGAATGGTCGTCTTGCTTGATCTTGGATTTGCTGTTACTGTGTTAAGCTGACGTTGTTGAAATAATCTGCTTAAATTTGAGTTCTTATATTTACCTGTTTTCCAGGTGAATTGTCTCATCATTGCTAGTACTGAATATTCTTGCTTACTTGCGCCTTGGAATTTAACTTTGGAGAGGAAGAAAGTAAATATGAATAAGACAAAAATAAAATGGTGTGTAATGGCACTTTGTATTTTTCATAGTACACTAAAATTTATCACCACTTCAGAACAGTTTTGAAGGGCTTAGGAGCTGTTGTTGCTACTGATCAAAAGGTTTTGAAGACTTTCTTTTTTGTTAATTGTTGCTAAGATAGTTACCACAGTCCTTAATGTGTGTGATGACTTTTAAAATTCAGAATAAAAGTTACTTAATGTCTTCAGTTCAGCTATCTAGTCCAGTCATCTTGCTGTAAACAAAATATTTGAACTGCTGCTCATGAGAAAACTGAGACCTAGAAAGGTTAAATTGACTTGTCTTAAGATATAACAGTTATGTGGAGGGCATGAGAGTGTGTAATTGTTGATGATTTGTTCCCTTGGGAAAGAAGGGGTTTTTTTTTTTTTGTTTTGTTTTTTTTTAATGGATAGAAGTTATTTAAGGTAGTTATGGCTGGTTAATTCTCAGTAGAGGAACAGGATGGTTACTGAAATGGTCAAAAGAGACTGTGTGATAAAGATACTTTTTTTTTTTTTTTTTTTTGAGACTGAAGTTTCTCCTTGAAAGTTAATCCTTGCATAATTTCAGATGATAAGTGGTGACATAGCTAAAGAAGCCTCCTTTTGAATACCTGTTCAATCTGTAGGCATTTTCATGTTTCTTAAATCTTGTTGGCAAAGTAAAACTGCAGTTGTTGGGAAATTTCAGACTCCTTCATTTGAACAGACATGAGCTTGGTCCTGACTACAAATAAAGACATTGTAGGAATTTGTAAGTATGTATTTTGATTAATGCTTAGATATTCCACTATACCCCTATTAGTCTTTGTATATTCTTTAATGCATACACCTTTTTTATATATAATGCAACCAAAAAGGGTAATGTATATAAGGCATATTGAAATAAATAGGTAAGGCAGCTCGCAGGTGAGGGGTCAATATCTTCAGCATGTTTGTAACCCGTTCCCATATGCAAGGTCCACTGGTTGGGAAGCTCTGGTTTAAAGCATTTTTCACTTTGAAAAAATTCCAAATAGGTTCAGGTAAGAATGTGTTTTACTGGAGAAGGTACTTTTGTTTGTGGGTATGTCACGCTTTCTACATGTTTGTTGTGTGACTGGAACTTAATGTATTATTTAGAAAAGAAAGTTCCCCAACTTTAATTTTCTAATTTCCTAGTTGTACAAAATCTTCTGATGTAGTTTTTTCTAGAGGTAGCCATCTTAAATGAAATGTGAGTAATAAAACACTGTATATGAAGTTAAGAGATCCTGAGTAAACTAAATTGTAATTATACTATACACATAAATGCATTAGGGTACAAAGGAATGTGCCAGATTTTGGTATTTGAATAAGTAATTAATGAGGAACAGAATAATTATTTGGATCTGGGATTGGGGTGGTCTTGGCTGCCTTAACTTTACCCTCTCTGGGCTCTTTCTCTTCCTTATCTATTTATATTTTTTCAAAACTTAAATAACATGTCAAAGAATAGCATATGCTAGCCATAGTGTTGGACACTGAGAATTAAAAAATGAATATGCTTAATTTTTGCTATATAGGCTTAATAGATGTACAGAGTGCTGTGGAAGAACAGAAGAATGATTAAACTTATGGAAGGTCTGGAACTGGTTTATAACACTAAAACTGAATAGGAGCTTGTCAAACTTGGGAGGGAGTCCTTTCAAACAGAAGGTTTGTACTGAGGTGTCAGATGTTGGAGTAAGGCTAGTGGTAAGGTGTTATTGAAACAGTGGGAGTGACTTGAGAGGAACTCGCAAAGGTGTGTCTGACCTAGATTTTGAAGGACCATGCTTGGGAAGATAGAAATGAAGTTTATTCCTTTCTCAGCAAAATAAGGAGTCAAAATACTTTGAACAGGAGAGCAAAGTGATTTAGGTATCAATTTTGCATCAGTGTGGAGAGTAGAGTGGAGCCAACACAAGTTAAAATCAAATCACGTTAGAGAGAGACGTATCTGATAGTTCCTTCTTTTTCACTTGGATGTGGTGGTGTCTCTTGTCTGTGGTCCCTTGTAGTGGGCTTGAGGGCTCTGCTCAATTACTGTAGAAGAGAGGGTCACTTAAAATAAAAATGTCAGTTTTTTGGGGAGAGTTGTTAAAAGCAGCCAAAAAATGAAAGCCCTACATGAAAGTTCAGGTTTGAGAACTTTCTTTCTGAGTTAGGCTTAGACAGACTAGAGAACTTAGCTGGAAAAATTAACCTTATGCTCACCAGACTTCAAAGCCACCAAGTTAAGGTTATGACTGTCCCAGTGGTTTGTTAGGATATGGTCTGTAAATGTGTTGTGAAATTTTGGGAAAAGACAGAGTTTTCTTCTTGGTAAGTTAATGAAATTGGAATATTGAAACTATATAAAGCCAAAGAACTCATAAAGTTGTTAATTTATAGTCAGTTCTGCTGTAAAGCAATATATAGATTCCTAAGAGTCACTGTGCTGTGCAAAATTGTACTGGAGAAACCACAGGTCCTATGGGAAAGAATGAAATTAGGATATAGCACTTAAAAACTTTGGCAGTGACACATAAAAAAAAAACAAAACCTAAAAAATTGGTTTGAGCTTTTTATACATGTTAAATAGTTAAGATGTAAATACACAACAAATGTGGTAATTTAAGGTGAAAAATATCTGATTTGCTTGTACAAATGGACCTCAGAAGGGTTGTTGCTTATGAATTATTGTGAATTGGTGGAAGGAGAGTTACCTGAAATCAGATAAAAAAATTGTTCACCCCAGAAATGAACGGTCACTCATAACACAAGGTAAACTGACTTAGTGAGTGTTTAAATGTGTTTTATGTATTTCTCTTCATCTTATTTCAATTGGGTGCAGTTTTCTACTTTTACTTAGTGTTGTTTGCAGACAAAATTGCACATAAGCAAATGAGAAATTTGCATTATATTCATATTGTTCCCTAATATATCATTCATGTTGGAAAAAAATTCACATTTTCAAAACAATTGTTTTATAGCATAACTAATTATACTTGAATATAGCACTTAAAAATAGTACTATAAGCTGGATGTGGTGGTGCAGCCTGTAATCCCAGAAACTGGGGAGACTGAGGCAGGAGAATTGTAAGTTCAGGATCAGCCTTGGCAAAGTGAGACCCTGTCTTAAAAAAAGAAAGAGCTGTGTACCCTGTCATAAGCCTGTAATCCCAGCCACTCTAGAAGCTGAGACAGAAGGATTGGAGGCTGAGACAGGAGGATCTTAGGCTGAGAAAGGAGGATCGTGAGTTCAAAGCCAGCCTCAGTAATGGCGAGGTGCTAAAGCAACTCGGTGAGACCCTCTCTCTAAATAAAATAGAAAAAATAGGCTGGGGATGTAGCTTGGTAATTGAGTGCCCCTGAGTTCAATCCCTGACACATCCGCCTCCCCCCACCCTCAGTCAAAAAAAAAAAAAGAAAAAAGGGCTGGGGGATGTACCTTAGTGGATTCAATTCAATTACCTGGATTCAATTCCCAATACAAAACAAAAAGCAAAACAAACCAATAATAATAGTACTATAACTCAGTTCCAAAAATACTTAATGAGCAACCCTTGTGTCCCAGGTACTGTGTAGACACTACCTTTGTAGGGGTTATGGTCTTGTTTGTAATGGTGTGAACAGAAAGACAAAAAGCACTCATCAGGTTATATCAGTTAGGAATATATAAACCATTTTGGGCATGCTTAGAAAGGAAAAATTTAATTCTTCTTGGGAAACTTGAGGTAGTGACCTCAGATGTCTTTGAGCTGGATCTTGAGGAATAAATAGGGATTTGTCAGGCTGAGTAGGATATTTTAGGGAAAAGAAATAGCATGTCCAAAATCAAATTTACAGCGTGGGTTATGGAACATAGGATACAAAGATGAAAGGAATAAGAAGAGGTCAGAAACAGCTTGTAAATAGTGTTAGGTGTTTTCTTAAAGTGTTAGAACTTCTACCTGTATAGAATGGGAATCCACTGAGAGTTTTGGTAGATAGGGTGGAGAAATGGTGTATATGACATCATACATTTTCATGGG